AAAGAGTGCCGGTGTCATAGCAAGGTATCAAAAGGGAGATGGCAAGTGTGCCGGGAGCTGAGGAGAAGGAGGGGATTGTTGGTGTTTAACACAATTCAAAGCTGCCCATTGTTAGGGAAGTTTATTCTCCCCCAGGATCATCACAGAGGCTCCTGGTGACAACTGCTCCCTGGCTTTTGAAGTGCAGCATTAGGCGTTTCCTTTGCTTTGCTGCCTTGTCCCCTATTGGATCAGAAGCCTCTTTGCCACACAGGGTCATTGGGTGGCAAATGAATAGGGGGATTTGATTATTCAGAACGTCACCTCGTATATATATCAGAGATTTGGGGGCTTGCAACTTTTCTCCTTTGACGTGGGGACAAGGAAAGCTGCCTCGCTCTTTAGATCAGCCAGTGGACTAGGGCTTCAGCCTCTGCGCCTGCCATGAAGAGGAACACCTTCATCTTCACCACCGTTGGGCTATGCTGTGCCATCTTCGACACATCAGCCTGGTAGGACTGCAGCTCAGCTTGCACAGGGCCTCTGTGCTACCTTTAGCCTGTGTGAGACAATATGGTTTATCCTCTTTTTTTAATTTTTGTTCCAGGTCTGTGAACAACTTTCTCATGACGGGACCCAAGGTAAATTTATCCATCAATTTAAATGTACTGCTTGTTTCCTACTTGCAGACAAAGATCACCTTACTTAGGAGCCACGTTTACTGGTCTGCCTATGGGCATCAGGTCCCTCGGGTGAAGGAGGGGAAATAGGGGAAAGGAGGGGAAACTCATTTACTTTTGCTTGCCAGTGTTTTGATTTTAAAAGGCACTTGAGTTTCAGACTGTTATTTTTCTCTGCAAGGCCTATCTGACGTATTCCACTAGTGTCTCTGTGGGGGCGCACAGTGGGATTGAAGAGTGCAAACACCAGTTTAACTGGGAGCGCTGGAACTGTCCAGAAAGTGCCCTTCAGCTCTCAACTCACAACAGACTCAGGAGCGGTAAGCATGCGCTTATAGACGCATCAAGTACAGCCCTTTCTCCTCCGCAAACATGAGCAGCCTCTTGATATGCGTATACTGTGTGATAAGAGAATAAGTGTATATTGAATGATAGCAAATTCTGGAGGGAAGTTGGAGCGACTACAGACATAGCCTGGCCCTTCAGTTTTTGTCTACATAAGGAAAGTTCAACCAGTTTTGCTCAAATTAGAATTTAAACCAGATTTCAATCAGTGTAAGCCCCACTGGTGGCACTCTGATATTACCGTGCAGTTTATCTGGATTGGGAAGAGGGTTAAATTGGAATGAAAACTCAAAAAATGTGGGTCCCCATGTGTAGGGTTTAAAATCCTTTTGCTGAGAAGCAGGGAGCGGGTGGGGAAGATTACTTTGCTATACTAGTCTTCTCTTCCAATTTTATTCTAAGTTAATTTGTCTTTTACTGTAAGCTTCCTTGATCCTATCTGGGGGGAGGGCAGCACATAAATCTAATAAATAAAGATCTTAATGAAGTTAAACCAGTGCCATTTTCCCTCTGTAGCCATGGCTAATGCATGAACTTGCCACAGACAGAAAGCTGTGGTGTAACCTGCCTGAGCAATAAACAGGATTGAGTCTATTAGATCAAATCCCATTGTTATCCTGTAACGCTATCCCACGCACCTAGGCACTTTGGCAATGTCCTGTCAGCTACTGAGTCAAAAAACCAATAGGACAGGAAATTTGTAGGCATTTTGCAGTGGGCTAGAAAAGTTTTCACTCCTGCACTGCGCCCCACCTTGGTCCTGATCACTTTTACGCAAAGATGTTTGCCCTCTCTCTAACTCTGCTGGAAACAGCTTACATTTCCAACACGGATGGAGTTGGGACAGGGGTTTTGTGCTCTGGAGGGTGACAAATTCTTTATTCTTACCTTTGCAGCAACGAGAGAGACCTCTTTTGTCCATGCCATCAGCTCAGCTGGAGTAATGTACACTCTCACCAGGAACTGCAGCATGGGTGACTTTGATAACTGTGGCTGTGATGACTCCAGGAACGGGCGTGTAGGTGAGCTGAGATTATACCGGTCTAATGGGAGAAGCAGCTAAGATTTTCCCAGCCTCCGTGCGATGGATCTGGTTTTCAAATGCTCTAGATTAATTTCCCAGTCATAACTGTCACTAATGGCTGGATTTGGCTGTTTCTGCTTTTAACATCCATCAGACTCAGCACTAGAAATGATCAGTCTCCCCTAATTTTTCTCATCTGGGTCCCTTATTATAGCATGGTTTTATCACTCCGGGCTTCCAATTTGTCTGGTAGTCCGCTATTCCCTCGAGTGGCTCCAAAGCGACTACTTGTGAACCGTGCGTCTTTTCCCAGGTGGACGAGGATGGGTCTGGGGAGGCTGCAGCGATAATGTGGAATTTGGAGAGAGAATTTCCAAACTGTTTGTGGACGGTTTGGAAACGGGACAAGATGCCAGAGCGCTGATGAATCTGCATAACAACGAAGCAGGGAGACTTGTAAGTAAAAGCGTATAAGTCTGTATTTGAAAACATGCTCGTCTACAGAGCTTTTAGGGTCTCGGTCTCCACTGCATAACAAGGGAGCTGGCCCATTGATTTCAATGGGAGGCTTGTATGAATGTATTTCAGAATCAGGCCCTCCATCAAGGTAGAGGTTGCAGTAAGAATTGCTGGTCCTCACAGAAAGCAGCTAGCCAGGGCAGTAACATGCACTCCCCTCTCCACAACCACAAGACTTGATAGCTTTGCATTCGCACAGTTTCCAGCATATCTTCCCTGCTACTTTAGTCTCTGGCAATGTGTATTTTCAGGTGAAGGAATAACTACTCCTACTTGAGCTGTAATCTCAGTTCTGGCAGTGAGTCTGTTTGTGTTGTAACTCAGTCTCTGCCTCAGTGTCCCCCTCTGTAAAACGAGCAGAACAACACCCCACAGACCTACCTCATATGGAAACAGCAGTGAATGGCACCCAATAAACATGATGAAGTGGTGCTTTTCATGTCACAGTGCAGTCATAGTGACAGAAAGTAACATGGAATTAGCAAGGGTCACAGAGGTCTAGCAACCTTAAGAAGGGTGAACTCAGCCCCCAAAGTTTGAGAACCACAACTACAGGGAAGCAAATAAGACTGACTAAAAGCCCGGACTCTGGGCAACGCTAACTACTTAGTGTCATTACGGGGCCTTTTTAAAGATTATTTTATAAATGGAGTGACTTGTTCACTGCCCATGCAAGATGATGATTTGATATACTCCTGGCAAATAAATTTATGCACAGAACTGAGATAGCCCAGGCTCGCACTGCCCCTCTGTCCTGGCCTAGAGACGCGACTGGCATAGGGCTGGAGAAGGCAGTTCCTGCCTGGCAAACCCCCGATGCATCTGCCAGTTCCAGCATCAGTTAGTGATGGGAACCCACGCCCATTAGGAACTGGATGGAGATCACCAAGTCATTCATGCTGGCTGCCAGATGGTAGTGACTGGGGACCATGAGACAGACAACCCTTATCCCATGAACAGAAACAGACCCTGTCTGCGCAACAGGTTTCTGCTGCTCCTAATTTTCTGCTGCTCTTCTCTTTCAACCAAGGCCGTAAAAGAAATGATGAAGAGGACTTGCAAGTGCCATGGGGTATCGGGCAGCTGCAGCATCCAGACCTGTTGGCTCCAGCTCGCCGAGTTTCGAGAAATCGGGAATTATCTGAAAATCAAATATGACCAGGCCCAGAAGCTGGAGATGGACAAGAGGAGGATGAGAGCCGGGAACAGCGCTGACAGCCGCAGGACCACAGTGGAGACCTTCAGCAACGTGCTGACCACAGAGCTGGTCTTCCTGGAAGATTCTCCCAACTACTGCATGCGCAATGCCAGCCTGGGCCTGCATGGCACGGAGGGGCGGGAATGCCTACAGGGCGGCAAGAACTTGTCTCAGTGGGAGCGGAGGAGCTGCAGACGGCTCTGCACCGAGTGTGGCCTCAGGATAGAGGAGAGGAAGATCGAGGTGGTCACCAACTGTCACTGCAAGTTTCGATGGTGCTGCGTGGTGAACTGCCTGGACTGCAAGCAGACGGTCACCAAGTACTACTGCTCCGGGAGAAGGGCCATGTCTAACAAAACCAGGCGGCGGAACAGGGGTCCCAAGAGATAAGCAGCTCTGAGCCAGCGGACTCAGGACATGGAGATTCCTTTTCAATTTTCTGCACGGGTCACCCCATCGCCGGGTTTGAGACTGGAAAGGAATTTCCCCATGGGGTGTACGGGCAGGACTCCAGGGGCGGGGGGTGGAGAGGATGTCTACCTCCCACAGCTCTGCAGCGGAGTTGCCCACTGGGATCTGGTTCCTTGTGATCCGCTATGGTGCGATTAGCATGAGCAAGGGCAGGTGGGCACGGGTGGGCCTCAGTCCTTCTGGTCTGTAAGTTTGCTTGTAACTAATTTCATTTGTCACTTTATTGATGGATCTGGCTGCAAAAAGCCATTTGTTTTTCTTTTTTAATGGGGCCCCGATTCTGATGTCCTTTACATCAGCATAAAGCGAGGTGCAGGTTCAAGGGCATCACACCAGGCAGCCATGTAACTGGGATCCCAACAGCGGTTGCTCCAAGCAGAAATCTGCTCCTAGCAACACTTCTGGTTCTCTGCTGGCCTCACTGCCATGGTCCAAGTGCAAGGGCAGAGCGCCTGACCCCAGGGGGCTGCTGTACACACAGCTTGTAAATATTTTTTTTAATGTAAAACATATGCACTTTCTGACATGAGAAGGGTTTCACAGTGTTGTGATTTCTATTGGGGCAGCTGCTGCTTTTTCACTTTGAGTGCTTTTGGAGGCTTACAGATGCCATTTACAGATGGCAGGCAAGGTCTCTTTTCTTAAACCAAGTTTTAAATTGGTGCAAGGGAAATAGAAGTACTGCCTGTCTTTTTGCTTTTCCTATTTGTTTGGGATGAAAAAAAAAACCCTTTAGAGTCTACCAACTGAAAGCAAAACTTCAGCTGATGAGAAGTCAGCTTTCTCCACGCATAATAAAGGATAGTAACCAAACTTCAGCACACTACGTTTCCTGTGTCCACTCTGATGGTGTCCTGAGAGTTTAGGTTTCTGGTACTAGATTTTACGGTAAACACGTTAATTAAATTGCAGGCTTTCCCCCGTCTGGTATATTATGACTGTGTTTATACAAGGGCCTGTCTCTAAAATCTCCCTCTTTTCCCAAGACTCCCTATGCCTGATGAAGGGCGACTGTGCCTGAAAGCTTGCTAAGAACTTTTCCCCAACTACTCAGTTGCTCTAATAAAAGAGATCAGATTCACCCAAAGAACCTTTCCTGCCTGTGTCCGTAGACCAACACGGCTACAACCAAAAACCCAGCCTCTTTTCTCAGCAAATTCTTAGCACTAATCCAAAGCCCAACGAGGTTTATGAGAGACTTTTCCATTGAATTCAGTTAGCACCGACTCCAGCCCTAAACCCTCAAATCCCTATCACCCTCCTACCTAACCCTTGGGAGGACTCAGTAGGCGGGCATAGCTGGGCCAAGGTAAATATTAAACCTGGCATGTCTCCTTAATTTGTCTAAGGCCCAACACTCTTCAAACAAGGCAAACTCCCCAGGCCTTTGATGTGGTATCAGCACTAGTTGCAAAGTTCTTTATTCCAGGGAACAAGATGAATCCTTTGAACTAGAGGGCAGGAGAGAAAACTTGGGGATGGTTGTGAATGTCTCTGCTGGTTCCCTGCTGCTTCTTGCTGTAAACAGCCCCATGCTACACCTGCTTCCCAGAACAGGAGCAGCCCTGGCTACTGCTGCCTCTTCCCATGGACCCACCCCACCCTCCTCATTTGTGACTGCTGCAGTTGTGATGCAGCCAAAAGGAACAGGCCAGACCCAGCTTGCTACGAAGTCATAGCTTTAAGCCAGGGAGGAACCAAACCCACTTCTGCCCACAGCTTGCTAAATAAGCCACGTGCACGCTACAAACTCCTGTGGCCACAGCTACATGGATGGGGAAGGGGGTGAAAGTGTGATGCCAGATGTGATGGATGGGGAAGGGGGTGAAGGTGTGATGCTGGCTGAACACAGCTGTGCCACCCCTAGTGTAGACATGGCTATAGCCACCACGGTTTTAGCCGCAGTATTGCATCTTTCCTGACGCAGCTTCTCCCCTGGGTGCAGGGAGGGGTTGGGGTTATTATTACACTACCATGAAGCAGGGCTTTGCTGGTCTGTTGGGATCCATGCTAAGAGAGCTTGGCCAGCCTGGCATACCAGCGTTCCTACACCAGTGCAAAAGGCAGCAGAATCAAAGGCAATTCTTGTCCCAGAAACCTTGTGATGGCCTCTAGGTTGTAAGGCTCGCACCTGAATGCAGATGCGGATCTGACCTGGCCACCGAGCGCTGGGGCCTCAGGATCTGGGGCGAGGGGCCAGGTTAATTTCTAATCAGAGTCCAAACCGTTCCTCTCCCCTGGTGCAAGGTGCTTGACCCTGCAGCCACAGGGCTCAGGAAAGGAAGCAGGCCACACACACCCCTGCAGGCTAAAGACCTTTCTAACAGCAACTTTGGGAGAGGTTTTCCACCAGAACTGACACTAAAGGACCCTGTTTGGCTGGAGTGGGATGGGAAGAGGGGTGGTAGCATTGTTAGATGGAGCACAAGACACCTATTGACCAGGGCTGGTCTTATCGCAGAGCATCTCAGGGAGTGTAGCTCTCCCTGGGACTGTGAATTCATATGGGAAAGAAACAGCCAGCTCACTCAGGTGCCCTGTAAAATCCCAGCCTGCAAGCTCTGATCCCATTGCATTAGGCTCTCCCTAAAGCACCTCTCCCGCCCCGCACAAGTCTGCGCTCATGCTGCACATCTCATCTGGGTCCTGACCTTCCAGTTTGTATGCAAGTGCTCATCTTTGCACCCATAAGAAGCCCCCTTGACTTCAGCAGGGCTATTTACTGACAAAGTAAAGCCCCTTGGAAAATTCTACTCGTTTGCCCTGGTTTCAGTAGCAGAATTTGCCCCCTCCTACCCCTCTTGTGTCTTCCCACCATCGAAACCAGTACTGCTGAGCTCAGAAAATATTCCAAGCAAAGGCACAAGGGCTGGGGCTAGCTCTGGAGGAATGGTCTTGGATGGGACAAAGCATCCTCATTCCAACCTCTGTCACCATCTTCTTGGCTTGCGGAGATCGTGCCTATTTCTGTAGCTCACACAGGACATAAGACCTGTAAGTAAAACCTGCTAGTGAGTCGTACCTCGACTCCAGCTAGATATCAGCGTCCTTCCAAACCCAGCCAGCCTTCTCCATCCATCTTGTTGCTTAGCTACAGCACTCATTCACTCCCTGCCAGATTCAATCAGAAACAATAGAAATCCTGGATCATCTCAATCCATCATTGTGCTGTCAGGGACCTGGTCCACCCCAGAGCACTATTACCTTCAATAATATTCACATGTGCAAATGTTCCCTGAGGGGGGGACGTTCTCCTGCCAAAGACTGCCTAGGGACACAATCCGAGATGCTTTAATCCTCTGAAGGGCGATTGTAACCTCCACCCCCATCCAAAGCCTTATATTTTTATTCCACAAACCTCTACACGACATCCACTGCTATTCTCTTTTCTGGTAGAGAAGACCAGGCCTGTTATTTTCAGTTCCCAGAGTCTCCTTCACAGGTTGTAACCATGGAAAAACATCTGACCAGCCCAGCAGAATCACCGAAATAATACTCTTCTCCTGCCCTCCTCGCTGTATTATATTTGCAGTGAGCTCAAATCGAGATTGGGGATGCAGAGCTCAACAGCCTGTAAGGTCAATTTATGCTATTGGAGCAAAGATAATGACTTTAACACCGCTCTAAATAAGCAGGTGAGTATTTCCATAGCATGGAGGCAACTTATATGCATCACTGTAGCACCTCAGTCCCAGGCAGGTCCGCATTGTGCTAGGCAGAGTGCCTCAGCCCCAAATGGTGTACTCTTA